CCGGGCGCGCGCCCTCGCGGTGCGGGCGAGTCTGGCGGGCTCTGTGGCCCGGAGCACCAGAAGCATGGAAACGGCACGGCTCCGGGAAGTGGAAATGGGAGGCTGGGTCCTGCCCGCCTTTGAAATTCCCCTTTCCTATCCATTTTCTAGCAGGCCCAGCACAGCGCATCCGTAACCGCGGGAGGAATGGCCCCGCGGTGATTCTTCGGGTTTAACCCCAGGGAACCGCAGGAACTTTGCACACCGAGAAGTGCCGCGCATCTGCACTGAGGGGGACTCGGCAAAGTGTCCAGCATCCCGCACACAGACACACAGACGCGCGCGCACACGCACGAGTACTCCTCGGGGCCTCCGCGCTCACCTGTCAGCGCGGTGGGTCTTCGGGGCCTGCGCTCTCGCCTCGGGGCGCTGCGTGAGGCCGCGGCCAGAGCCGCTCCGGCTCGGCGCGGGGTCCGCAGGACTGAAGGAGAGGCTACAGCAGCGCACTGGGTCGCCCGGTCCGCGAAGGGCGCACCGAGTGTCGGGCATCGCGCAGTCTCCCGTTTAAATGCCGGCGGCTGAGCGCGGCGCCCGGGGCCGCGCCACTCCATTGGCCAGGCGCCGCAGCCGCCGGCGGACCCGTTATCCGCCCCCTTTCCCGGTACCGCCCCCGCCCTGCACCCCTCCTGCTTCCCCGCGGGGTCCCCTCTCCGCCCGCCTCGCCTCTTTGTCTGGTCCCCCCGCCCGGGCCTGCTGGGAGAGGTCACCCCAGGGAACCGCGCCTGGAATGCACAGCAAATCACATTTTCCGCTCCCGTAGGAGAGGGAAGCGCGGGAGGAAATCCCCCCGGCTCCCGGCCCCTCGTTCCTCCTCCGACCCAGCTCTGGGCTTTTCCTCTCGCCGGCTTCGCTTCGCCTGCCTCAGGCTCCAAGCTCCGTAGCGAAGGCTGCACTGGAAAGAACAGGATCCCCCTAGAATCGAGACAGATGAGGCAATTCCTACCGGTGGAGGGAACAGGCCCGAGGGACGCCCAGGTCGAGCGGTCTCCAGGGTTCGGCGGCTCTGCCCCGGCCCCTAGCTTGGAGGGCGCTGACCCCGAGCCCGCGGCCGCCGGCTGAGCCCGTCGCCAACCTGACAGTCCGCTCTCCGCGCCACTGCGCGTCCTCGGAGTGGGGTGTACCGAGGGTTAACAAAACCAAGAAGACCCTCTGCAGTCAAAGTTTCCATTTCTAAATGATCCCGAGAAGGAAGAGAGCAACCTCCAGGCAGAGGGTTTTCTGTAAATCAGCAAAGACAGCGTGCAGAGAAGACAACTTCCCAGATATTCAAGACAAAAAAGGGAAAAACGATGCCACCTTTTGTATTCGTTACCAACAACCCGATGAACAGAGGGGAATATACCAAAGGTATAAATCCCCCCCCCACTGAAAGGTGAGAAAGCATATTTATTTGTTGTCTTAGTTTGGACACTGGTTCTTCTAGGAGGCCGAACGTTTTCTGTGTTAAAGTTAACAGTCCATGCAAAAATTCCCCGGTTTGCGATGTCACTGCAGCACACCCATGAGCCAGGTTAGATGATAGAAGGAAATCTGAAAGTGTCTCTCTTGCCTAAAGCAAAAATAACCAGACAGTGAAGCTCATCAAAAGGTACTTATGAAACATCTGTGACTTAAGTAGTTGGCTAGGAAAATCAAACCAGACCAGAAAACAGTATATTTTTTTTTTGTCTTTAGTAAGACATTAGGAAGAAAGACTAAGAAACATATTGAGCATCTACCAGATAGTGTTAGGAATTTAAGACTTTTAGAACTAAATGAAGCAAGAAGGAAGTTTCCATGAAGTTAATGTCTACAGAATCTTGGTTGTCTGAATGCTTTGTGCGAATGACTATTTCTGTGATATGAACTCATCTCTGCACATTACCGATGTCTCAATAACATTTTCTTAAATTAATCGTGAGCCATAATTTCTAGCTGTCTGCAAGATAGGAACATTCAAGGGGCTTAAAGACCTGCTCTAGACAAGTGCGCTTCTGGAGAGCTAGGTAGTCAGGAACATGTAAAATGCTCAGGCAACTAAGAGTTCAACCCAAGCTCACCAAGTTGTATGAATTCAGCTGTTTTCCTCCATAGAAAAGGGAACATATTTCACCAATTTATTAACTCTTTCTGGTCTGAAATCAATGCTTTGCATCTTTTCAAGACTCTTAGAAACTGCCCCAAATAAAATCTCAGAGGTGAATTTACCTCCCGAAGCTGAAGCAGTTGGTTTGGAAGCCTGAATAATGTGATTTTATATATCTCTACCTAGTAAATGCTGATCACCACTGTCACTTTGCTGCGTGAAGCCTCTCAGCTCATGCTATACCACAAACACAGCTCCTCCCCAACCCTCTAGCTCATTCATGGCACCATTTTTCTTCACTGTTGTTTATCTGTTCCTGTCATAAAAGTATTTCCTGCCACCAGCCTGTAAACTTCATAAGGGCAGGGACTTTGTCTACTTTGGTCACTTCAATTGCATGAAGCACACGCAGTACAGACTGTCTAGCACAGAAATGAATTTGTATGAGTTGGGAATGTTCAGCGTATTCCCACTCACTGGGATTATCGACTGAGCAAAGAACTGAGGATACAATCATTGCGAGAATGGTATACACGGGTCCTCACTTCACACAGTTTATATTGACGTATGTTGGTAAACATTTATATAGATAGTCAAGTTTTTTTTTCTTGCTTCATACTTGTGTTTCCAGAGCTTTTCATCAATCATTACAAATCATTGTCCAAGAATGAAGAAGGCAGAAGAGTAAAATCTCCTTAGAATGCTTGAAGCACAATTGAACACTGCTTTTAGTAAGGAGGAAAGAAAAAGAACAACTCAGTGTCATCAGTTAAATTTTTAAATCTGAGATGCCTGAACAAAGATCACTAAAGGATAAATTCCACATAATGAAACTACCTTCAGTCTACTCTGAGGCTACACAAAAATAGATTCTGATAAATGACTGACTCGTAAAGACCATTTCTCCTGTTTTGCCTGCCTACTTACACAATAGCATTAGTGAAATAAAATGGCATCTGTACAACATATCTAGTCCCAAGATACCAAGAGGGGCTACTTGCCAGGTTTGGGGAAGAAGTTTAAAGGCATTTGTAGGGAAATTTTTGCTTAGCTCTGCAGAAACTATTGACAGCTGCTCATTTAAATGTCGAGACTATATGCACCATTTTACACTGGACTAAGAAGAATGAAACCCTTTGCACATTTGAAACTAACCTGGCATGTCCTTTCTAAAGAAAAAAAAAAGTGATACAATGTGAAATAAGAAAAGGGCTAAAGATGTAGGGAAAGTGGGAAGGGTAGGGGAAGGGGAATAAGGGAAAGATATGAGAAAATTTAAAAAATGGAAATAAAGTGTTTGTAAATGATGAGGGGGGAGGGGGTGAAGGGAGAGCAGGGACAAGGGAGAAAAAATGAGAACCAAGACCTGTCAGGTGAAGGCGCAAGATCCCGATAATGAATGCAACTGTATTGTATACCTAAAATGTACCTATAAACTCAATGAGAACAATAAGTGATAAACAATAAATGATGGTTCAAAAAAAGATACTTGCAGCAATTAAAGAATACCTAAATGATTCATATCCACAATAGAATGCTTTTGTAAACTGATGTAAAAAAACCCCACAAATAACCCACTAGGAAAAAGTGGCAAATCACACAGCTGAACACACACAGATGTGCACACACACATACCAGCCAATAAGCATGAAAAGATGCTAGAATGTATGAGTAAATCAGGGAAATGCAAGGATAAACAAGAAGCCTTGCTTATCTATCACATTAGCAAAGACTTAAAAAGGAATGGGCTAGATTTTTATATTGCAACTTAGTGCTCCAAAGCAGTAGAGCTTTTTAAAGAAGTTGCAGAATGATATAAGTGTATGACATGTATGCATATGTCATAATGAACACACAAAAAACATGCTACAAATTGTACACGCACACATATGTGTTCACACTGTATAAGCAGTGGTTTGATCTTCAGACCTCTAATGATGCTCACCAGAATGGTAATGGAAGGAGAGGGATTAAGAAAAAAATATGAACAAGATTTCCACTTTATGAAACATTTTAATTCTTCTTAATCTTGAAATAAATATGATAAAATAGGATGAATTTTGATTTTGGAGTGAGGAGTACAGGGATATGTGTTAGAATATTTTCTCTGCGTTTTTGTAATTAAAAATTATCAAATAAAAAAAAATCTTATTAAAAGAGTGATTTTGACTATCACCTGAGCAGGGAGGGTTTTTGCTTCCTATGTGTTTTCTGTTGACTGGCCCTGGAGGAGACATGTTTTAGAATACACACAAGCCCTTATTCTTGTCTATTTGTCTACTAATCTGCTGAGGGTCAGCTTCTCGCTATCCACCTTGCTTTCTGCAGACAGCACCAAAATGTTTACCAACTTCCTGAACGTGAAAAAATATACATGCGTGTGAACATTCTGAACAGTATTGCCAACTACAAATATTTGTACTTAAATTATTCAGATCTTTTTAACACAATTCACATCTCGCTGCATACAAGGATTTATGTAGTCCAGTGAAAAGCATGAAGTTGGGAGACTGCAGGCAGGGCTTTTCCCAGTCTGTATGCAGGAAAGGGCTCTGAACAGGGAGTCAGAAACCCCCCCAATAAATTCTTGACTCCTCATATGCACTGAATACTTCTGAATCAGAAATTTTAACCCTTTCAGCCTAAATCCAATCAATTATCAGTTTTATAGAGATGATAACAATACCTACTTGTGTTTGGTTGATAGAGTTAAGTGAAATAATCTGTGTGAAAGTGCCACACATCTAATAACATCGGTGTCTGCGTGGATACTAGAGTCTGGCTGGGAGCTGAAACAAAAACAATGGAAGTTTAATATCAGCACAGGGTGTGTCTCAAGTATCCATATCTTTATTGTGCATAATGCAGTGGATGGAACACAGTAGGTGCCTGATTAACTCTAATAAATGAGTACTGTGTAGAGAAAGAAAGGAGGAAGGGAGAGGAGGGAGGCTGGAAGGAAAGAAGAAAAGGTGGAAGGAAGGAAGGAAATAGAAAGACGTGAGACAGGGAGGGAGGAAAGAAGGAAGGAAAAAAGAGAACAGAGGAGAGGATAAAAGGGAAGGGGAGAGGAAGAAAGAAGGAGGGAGGGAAGAAGAATGAAAGGAGAGGGGAGGAGAAAGATGGGAAAGGGAGAGAAGGAGAGAAAGTGAGAAGGGCGAAGGAAGAGGATGAGAGGGAGGAGAAAAGGAGGAAGACGAGCGATTCCATTCCAGTAAAGGGCACCGGCAACTTCTATTTCTTGGTAAAAAGTGGAAATGGAATAACTGCCCACAGAAGGCCCTAGCAAAGTAGCAAATCCTTCCGCTCTCTCTTCTCAGTACTGTAAGAATCACTTCAACCGGAAGCTATAGTTCTTGGGATGTTTCCATTGCACAGACAGTTGAGAAGCCACAAGATGATGCCTGGTCCCAGGAGAGAGGCTGAAACCCA